CTGCTCGGGTTAGAAAAAATAAGCAACCCTCCTTCAGAAATCAGCCCAAACAACACTTGCTGTTCCCGGTATAAAAGGTGGCATAACACAAATTTGATTTTACCTAGCATAACTATCAAAAGCCAGGCGGTGTGGGACTAAAGGGCCTACAGTTTTTTTTTTTTAAAATAAAATTTTTATACTCCGCGGAGGAGAGAGAAAGAGGCGAGAGTTAAAAACTGCCAAAGGGCATTTAAATAGCTCGCACACAAATATATATAAATATATATATATATTTAGATTAGCAGCCCGTTGCCGACATTGTTAGCGACTTTGCCTAATTTTAGTATTATTTTTCTTTTCGATTTTAATTTTACTAGTCTAAAAGATTACAAGACATGTTTATAAAAATTGTACAAAAAATTAAAGGGTGACAATAAGAAGAGATTGAGAATACAAAATAAACATAAATTTTAAGAGGGTAGAATCATATGCTAAAGAGAAAGAGGGAGGAAGCTCACGAGAGAAATAAAAAAAAAAAAGAAAAAAACTATTTATTCCTTGATAAATTTATTCAATTGAAATATTGCAAGATATTATTTGTTAGGACTCCATATTATAATATATTTTCAAAGCATCCATAGGTGAGGTATATACATTACATAAAATTGAAGAGGTTTTGTTGAAAATGAGCCAATTCCTTTATTTTATAAATTTATATGTGAATTCTAAATGATCGTAACAATAAGGGAGAAGAGTTATTTTGCTGGCTTTATCTTTAATAGCAAAATCCTTATTGTTACTTAGGCTTTTCTTGGGACGACTTTCTTACTATTTTGTAATGTGACTTTCTAGTACGTAAATTTATGAATCAAGACATTTTTGCACGCTGAAATTGTTTTAGAAAACAGAAAGAAAGTTGACCCAAACGAATCTTTAAGCCATGTGACTTGATTTTAGGGCTTCTAAAGTGGAGAGTAAGAGGCTAGAATGTTGGGCATGAGTTCTTATTATATGAAAATGTTATTGTATGAAATATAAGATTTCAACCATAAATAACCTTGATACGTCATAAAAAAATTATCTTGATCGGGTACGAATCTCGATGCAAAATCAAGGTTGAAACTTTCAAAATTAAAATTGGGACCATCTGAACTCTCATTTCAGCAAACTTATAGTCAAACTGAACGTCTCGGAAATACAAACCCAACGATACCAAATTTAACTCAATCCGAGCCCAAATGAGTCCAAATTAAGGTCCCAAAGCACTATTGGAAGGTTCAAACCATAATTTGAGTTACCAAACAATTTCCAAACATGATGTGCTTATAGTCTAATCAAACGACATAATGAGACGAATCCAATGAGCCCAAGATCGCTGAATTCCGACATCATTCAAATGTCTAACGAAGGGTCCACAATCAAGGAATTCATTACGGCTGTCCATCCAACCACTCCCCATTTATCCTTAATCTCTCACATATTTACGAGCCATGCCACTCCAGAAATCTATAAATAGACCCCTCATTTCTCTTGAAGGGGGACCAGAGCAAGAAGAGAAGAAGGAGGAAGAGAAGGAAGAGAAGGAAGAAGCTCATCCTCGACCATAACCGGACTTCTGACGGACCACCACTTGAGGCTCTCAACTCTGCCTGACCACCGCTTGACGTCATTGCTCTGCCGAGCCACCACTTGATACCCTCAACTCCATTTTACCACCGCCCTGACGTCATTGCTCCGCCGGACCACCACCTGAGGCCCTCACCTCCGCCGGACCACTTCCTGATGCTGTTGATCCGTCGGACCACCACTTAAGGCCCTCACCTCTACCGGACCACCGCCTGATGTCGTTGTTCTACCGGACCACCACTTGAGGCCCTCACCTCCACCGGACCACCGCCTAATGTCGTTGCTCCGCCGGACTAACATTTGAGGCCCTCAACTCCGCCGGACCACCGCCTGACGCCGTTTCTTTGTCGGACCACCGCTTAACATCGTTGCTCCATCGGACCACCACCTTAAGCCCGAACTTCCGTCGGACCACCGCTTGAGGCACTATACTCCACCAGGCCACCACTCGAGGCTAATACATTCACTGGACCACCACTTGAAGCCCTGTGCTTTACCAAGCAACCACCTGACACCTGGATTTCTGTTAGACCACCACTTGAGGCTCGGACTTCTACCGGGCCACCACTTGATGCTGAGAAATCTCCCAAAGTATATCCCTTCTACTACGATCTTTCAGATATTGGTCTCCTATCGACTTTGGTCCTTCTGACCTCTATCGACTACTATGGTTATTCTAACCTCCATCACCAGATAATGGTCTTTCAGGCCCCAATTTCCTACTTGAAGGTGCTCAGATGACACTAGAGAGTGCTCTGAAAACACTTGAAAGTTCGTTAAGGATGTTAAGCCCTCATGAACTGGCCCAAGGCTAAATAAAGAGAGAGAGAGGTGAATTGGATAACTTTAAAACTAAAGATAAAACTCAAACCAAAATCACCACAGAAATCAAAGTGCAGAAATTAAATAATGCGGAAGCAATAATAAGAAAAGAACACACCAGATTTATAGTGGTTCGAGTCAAAAACCTTGACCTATGTTAACTCCTTGGAGGCAACCTCCCAAGTATTGGCACTACAAAGTGTCTCTCCTTTACCCCCACAGCTAGGCGGAGAAGCCCTTACAAAATTTACTTCCTTCCCCGGTGTGGGCGGAAGTCGCCGGGTCCTTTGACACCAAAGAGATCTTATTCTTTGGTGAACTTACCTCGAGACAAGCCTTGAATCCGATGGTACTAAGGTGCGAGTTTTTGCTGGAGCAACGCATGTGGATCCTCCACCACACTCCTCTTGAGTTCCTCTCCCTCACAAGGATACTTCTTCCCCTCAAACTCCACCTTTCCTCTC